TGGAGAAATCGCTGCTCCCAGCAAGGGTACAGCTAGCTCCCGCAACCTTGCCAAAGCTGGAGCACTTTAAAGCATTCTTGGTTTACTTTGAGAGTGGAAATCTCACTCAAAAGGGGGTTAAGAAGAGACATTAGTACCCTAGTTTTAATTTCAGGACCCCACCTCTGTTTCCTTCCCCTTACCTCCCAATTTTCTGGTCTGGCAGCAGGAGCTCCAGACATCAGTCCTATCGGGTCGCCATTTTTTCCTGGTCCCCTGTCTGGCCAATGTGTTTTTCTTGATCTTTGCCAAGTGCCCAAGGCTGAATCATCATAGTTTGTCCACCAATACTTTCAAGTGAAAATGGTGTTTCTTGAAAGATGGAACAAAAAATCTAGATTAGTTTTCAACTAGGACTTTTCATTAAGACAAGCATTTTCTTCTGTATGTTATGAAGATATTTAATTCATACCCCCAATTATTGAATAGGATGTTAGAATGATGTCACTTTTGTCCTATTACTTCAGAGAAGTCATAGATAGGGTTACTGCTAGTTCATTTTGAATTCACTGTTTTTTACCCTGAGAAACAGTTATCTGCTGAAAAGGTCTGGATTGCCTGCCACTGTTCATCCAAAGAAAGGGACACGGGTGATTGGAGAAATTCTCAGTTTATTTCTGCAAGTACTTGACAGAAGGAAACAGCGGGGTTCACTACATACAAAAACTGCTTTAAAGATTCAGTGAAAATCAAGCAAGTTATTTACCTCAAACTACATGGGCCAATTCCTGCGAAGGTGAATGTGAAGAGGTTTGTTACACTGAATAGAGGACTTCAGGCATGGGACAAAGGCACAGGCATGATTCACAGAAACAGGAGGCATCTTTGAGCCTTTCATTCCTTGAGATCAGAGAATCCTTGCTTATCACAATGGCCTGAAGATTTTGTTTCCCTAAACCTGCTGAAGTAGAGTATCTGTGCAGATTAATTTTTTAAAGTTGTTTATTTTTTAACTTCTAGGAGGAAGGGGTCATTACATTTTGATTTTTAGCAAACTAATCCTTAACAGGCAAGATCCTGAGCTATGGTTCATTTCCAGTATTTGATTAACAGCAGATTAGCTTCTTTTACCTTCTCTGTCTAAACCAGCAGGGGAATTTCTGGTGGTGGCGTGGTTCCACTTTGGGATGATAACTGCAAGCCACTCCGTGGGAGGAATATGAGGCTTCCTGCTCCCTGACCCACTTAGTGTCTTACAAACTCATGGGGCCATTCTATCCTGCCATATAGGGTCACCATGACTCATCATTGACTAAATGTCAGTGAGTTCAGGTTTTTTTTGTTTTGTTTTTCAAAACCTGCCATTTTTACCACTTTCATTTTTGCAACATCATTGCAAACATCAACACAGTGAAAAGGTAAAACATCTTAATATTGTTACAAAAAGAGTTTTAAATTCTATTCCCCTTTTGTGCACCAAAGTGAACATCAATATAATTTATATCAGCACGCTTCACATCTGCAGCAATACCTTGACAGGAAATTGCCAGAAGTTCAGGCCAGATTTAAAGAAGGATGTGAAACAAGAAATATCATTGCTGATGTCAGATCAATCTTAGCTCAAAGCAAAGAACACCAGAAAGGTGTTTAATTCTGTTACATTGACTATGCAAGGGTATTCAACTGTGTGGACCATAATAAACTGGGTGGATGATGTTTAGAAGAACAGGAATTCTGGATCCCTTCATGGTGCTCATTGGAAACTTTTGCATGGATCAAGAGGCAGTTGTGCAAACAGAACAAAGGCATACTGTATGGTTTAAAATCAGGAAAGATGTGCATCAGGGTCGCATCCTTTCACCATACTTGTTCAGTCTGTCTGCTGAGCAAATCATCAGAGACACGGGATTATATGAAGAAGACCGTGGCATCAGGATTGGAAGAAGGCTTATTAACAACCTGCAATATGCAGATGAAACCATCTTGCTTACTGAAAGTGAGGAGGAACTGAAGCAGTTGTTGATGAGGACTAAAGACTGTAGCCTTTAGTATAGATTACAACCCAATGTAAGGAAGAACAAAATCCTCGCAACTGGACCAATAAGTAGCATCATGATAAGTGGATATTACTTTGAGGACTTAGGTGTGCCTGGCCCAACCCATGGTATTCTCCATTGCATCATATTCATGTAAAAGTTGGACAATGTATAAGGAAGACCATAGAAGAATTGATGCATGTAATTTGTGGTACTGGAGAAGAATATTGAAAGTACCATGGAATGTCAAAAGGACAAACAGATATTGGATGAAGTACACCCAGAGTGCTCCATAGAAGCAAGGATGGCAAGACTTCATCTTACATACTTTGGGCATACTGTCAGGAGGTACCGGTCCCTAGAGAAGGCCATGCTGTTTGGAAAAGTATAGGGGAGGCAAAAAGGAGGAAGGTCCTTAGTGCCATGGATTGACAAAGAACCATTGTGAGAATGGTGCAGGACCGTGCAGTGTTTCATTCTGTTGTGCAGAGGGTCACTGTAAGTTGCAGCTTATTCGATGGCACCTAACAACAACCACAAAAACAACAATACTCTGATAATGTTGGCAACAATATAAAGTAGTATATATCATGTCTACTGTATTTTTTCATTTCGCTTTGTTTTGTTTTATGAAAGAAGATGTGTCGTCATTTGGATGCACTATTTTCCTTGAATCCTCCTCTCTTTCCTGAATTCTATTGGGAACAATTTCTTATGCGTAGAAAACCATTTAGCCTCCCTTTACCGTCATGATCAAATTAAGGGCACTTAATATTGGGCAATAATGGACACACTAAGAGCACTAGTCTGTCCGAAGAATAACATTCAGTTCATTTACAAAGGACCACGTGGAGTTTCAGGGAGGAAAGCCTCTGATGGCAAGAGTTCTGCATGTGACTGTCAGAGGGAGAAAGTGAGTCTTATGCGATGTTGCAAGGAGCCCTGGTGGTGCAGTGGTTAAGCACTCTGCTACCACCTGAAAAGCTGGGGCCTGGGATCCACCAGCCACTCCAAACACACGTGGCAGTTTCCTAAAGATTACACTTTGTTAAAACTTAAGTTCTACACTATCTTGTAGGTTCGCTATGTGTTGGAATCAACTCCCCAGCATTGAGTTTTAACATGATACCCCCAGTCCAGTTCCTAGGGTTTCTGGCTGTGAGCTTCGTTCCTGTTTGCCATAGGAATGTCTGCTTCTCCTCTGCGTTTTCGGATTAGGGCTTACTTTGGGTTCTGTCACTAGGAGACCATGTGCTTTCCAGCTTCCAGAATTCATAAAAGCCTGTACCTTATTAAAGTACTTTCTTGTTTTCAACTCTACTGTGGATGTATTATTCCCTTTGTACAACTTTTGTTATTTCAGTGTGACTGGGGTAAAGTTTAAGGAGCCCGACTGGCACAACGGGTTAAACATTGTCACAATGACTGCAAGGTGGGCAGTTCAAACCCAGCAGCCACTCCTTGGGGGAAAAATGAGGTGATCTCCTCTTGGAGTAAAGACTGACAGCTAGGAAACCTTAGGGAGCTGTTCTACTCTGGCCTCCACGCTTTCAGTGAGTCAGCACGCACTCGGTTGCAGTTGGTTTGGGTTTGGGTTTGGGCCGAATCTGGTGATACATCTCTTCAGCTTGCACTTTTGAATAGCAACCCTGTCTTAAAAGAAGATTGTTTAAAGATGGACTATTCTAGGTGGATACCTTTAATTATCAGGAAAAAAATCCCAGATAAAATAGAAAGTGGGTTGCTTACCATTTTTATCATACTATTAGCTTTTCTCTTAATTGTTGAGAACTTTAGTTTACTAATAGTGTCTTTTTCTTGTTCTCTTAGAGATTTGCCTCCTGACCAAAGGACGCCGCACAGCCAGTGTTCGGGCTGATACATACTGTCGTCTTTATTCACTGTCGGTGGACAATTTCAACGAGGTCTTGGAGGAATACCCCATGATGAGGAGAGCTTTTGAGACGGTTGCCATTGACCGACTAGATCGAATAGGTACTCTTCAGTTTTTCTATAGTCTTCATGCACATACCAGTTTAATCATACATATCGAGACCAATATATATATGTGAGCATGCCTTCCCAAAAGCTGTTTTCTACCATGTAGAAGTAGCATTTCTTTGAGCCATATTTCTAGAAATACATGAGGTCTTATCTAAATTTATCTTCTAAATATCCTGGGTTTACTTACTCATTTCTATTTTGTTATCCCTGCAGTCTGATTTCCCCAGTAATACCAATGCAATTTAATCATCAGGTATAAAACAACGATAAAAATTCTAGATAGAATTTTGAAATACAATAGTATAAACCTGCATTACAAACATTTATGATAAGTTCATTTATTATTAAGGGTCAGCTTATATTTTGTCCTTATATTAAAGAGTTGCAAATATTTTCCCTTTAAAATGGTCTTAGTAGAAACTTACTGATGTTCGCAATACAGACTCAAACAGAAATAGCCTTAATAGAAGTGCCCTGTCTAGACACATAGATGCTTTATCTTGTACACATGACTACATGGGCAAGAGAGTATATACATAGATAAATTTTGTTTATTAGTTACACTATTTTGACAATTTGAATAATTGCCATAGTAAAATTAGATAATATTGGTTTGTCACTAACTTCTCAGAATATCCTAGAACATTCTGATTATGCTAGAATGTAGTATGCATTCATTCTTCCACATTCAAGCCATCTACCGCCACCACCCCTACTCTGGGCACCCTTTCTGTGGTTAACTCCACTCAACTTGCCTATCGCAGTGTAGACTTTATTTCTCAGTAGAAAATGTCTCTGTTCTCTCCCTCTCATATCAGCTTGAGTACTCTAGGTATGTTCCCCCACAAAGTTCTGAAACCCTCACTGCTCTGACTACCATCATTGTTCTAGAGCCACTAAGTTTTTTGAATGGAGAGATTATACCTATTTGCCATTACGTATGCTGGGTAAGTAGTACACTACATAGAGAGGAGTAAATAAAAGATCTAAATATTTTATTTCACCTGGAAGCAAACAAAGAGGTTCCTCGAATGCTTCATTCTTATTCGTGGTAAGGATTTTTGATTGACCCTTTATTATTTTTTTTCTGTAGTTAATATTTTTCTTTCCTTCTATGTTACTAGGGAGTGTGTCTAAAGGTTTGAAGTTAATTTAAGTTAAAAGAAGTCAACGTAGTTTACATTGAACGGCTTGAAATAAATAACTCAGGCATTCTAATTGTTAGCAACAACTAGGTACTTCCCTCTTGTATAATTATAACAGGGCATTAAAAGTTGTGTTCTTTTTCCCATGATCGTTGATGCCCAGATTATGAAATGCGGAATGTTCACATAATCACACACACACATACAATGGCGTATCCACCAAAATTGGAACTTTTTTTCAAAGTTATATATTTAAAAAAATGTTTTTACAATACAACCTTATCACCTTCAAAGTACTCTTCATTACATTGAATACATCTGTCAAATCCATTTTCAAACTCATCTGTTGGATGACTGACAGTACCCTCCTTGTTTTTTTCTTCACCTCTTCTATGTCATCAAATCGCTGTCCTTTTATGTCCCAGTGCATCCGCAGAAACACAAAGAAGTCACAGAGTGAGGTCAAGTGAGTAAGGTGCGTGGGGCAATAGAGGCATGCTGTTTTTGCCAAAAACTGGCACTAGTATGCCTGCATGAGCAGGTGCATTGTCGCAAAACCAGCCCCCCATCTGGCACAAATCAGGCCTTTTTTTGCTGCACACCTTTATTAAATCTTTTCAGAATCTCTAACTAGAAAGCTTGATTAACAGTCTGGCCTGTTGGAATGAACTCCAAATGCACCAGTAGGCATTTTTGACTGTTCAAGAAACTGACGGACGTCCAGAACAAGGTTTGTCACCAATCTACATATCACCTCTTTTGAAATAAGAAAACCATTGTACCCTTGAGTTTTTCCCATAGAACTGTCCTTGTAAAATGTGTTCAACATCACAGCAGTTTCTGCAGCATTTTTCCCAAGCAGGAAACAAAACTAAACTGCTGTATGCTGTTCTCTTAAATCGGCCATCACAAGGAAACACGGTTTGAGCCAAACTGCTTTTACAAAAAAATTCGCTGTGACCAGAGAAAAACTTCCTAGGTGACACCACTGGGTGCACTAACTCAGGGCAAGTTGTGAGTGTCAGAAAAGCTCCACTCTGCCCAGTGCAATTCCGGCCTTTATGGGATTGTGTACACCCTCCTATACACAAACACATAAAAATAAACCACCATGATTGTTCTCAAATTTGGAGTCGTTGCTGATACATGACTCTAATACTGTAGTTAGTTAAGAGAATGTGCTAAAGAAGCATTTGAATGTTCTTTGAGAAATTAGCACAGCCCTGGCACACATTTAAAACTGCTTACTTTTCTTAGCCTTAAATTACAACGTATTTCCATTTCAACAATAAATTATTACTTTAGATGTAATACTGTATTTAGCAGTAGAGCAAAATGATTCACTTTTCATTTACCACATTCATCTAGGTATCAATGATATCATAGAAAAGGAACCTATTTTCTCATAATCCACCCATCTGCTATTGAATCTCACAGTTATTCTGCCAGGGAATGCCCACTTATTGCAAACCACACCAACGCTGATGGTAGAAAGGAGAGTGAAGCTTCTCTGGGAGCTTCAGTAGACTGAGAACCTGCCATATGCTAGAAGGTCAGGAAGAAATGGCTGTCAACTTGGCTGCACATTAGAAAATTCAGAGGGTGGGGGATACTTGTAATTTACCAAAATATGTCCCCTTCCTGATAATTCTGATTTAATTGATAGAGTATAGGGAGATAACAGTATGCTTAAAGCTCCAGAGATGAGAGCAATATGCAGTTAGGGTAGGAAATCTGCTGAAGGACACTGGTCAGAAGTAAAAGGCCTGACACCATGCTTCTTAAACATGTGTGTAGGAATCACCTGGGAGATGGTAGCAATATATAGTGTCTGATTCAGAACATGAGATGGTACCCCAAAAGTTGTATTCCCACCAAGGGCTCATGGGATGTGGGTGTTACTAGTTCATGGTCCAGGGCAAGGATCTGCAGTCAGATGCAGTATTTCCCCTTCCCATCCCTTTGACTTACTAATTAGAAGTTCTTGGACACACTTCTGAACGTCCGAATGTTTATCCGTCATCTATCTATCTGTGTAAAAAATGGGATTATAAATAGGTGTAGTCCACAGAATTGAGGATTAAATAAAATAACCTATCTATTATCTTTTCTATAGTGCCCATCATATAGGAAGTGCTCAGAATTTAGCTCTTAATTATCTCATGGACCTAACTGGATAGAGTAGCTATAAACTCACATCGTGATGCCAGATCCACGCTCATCTAAAATCCCTTGCTTCCCTCATTGTTCAAGGCATCCTGGTGTTAACGATCTCCTAGAGTAAAGTAGCATGTTTGCCGAATTTCTGACTTTCCAGACGTTTTTCTTGATTTTAGTGCAAGGTAAAGATAATCAAAGAGGGCACAAGAAGCAAGAAAGTTAGGGGCCATGTTTGTCTTAGGTACCCAGAAGCCAGTAGGAAAGCAAGCCTCCTTTCTGAAGCAGGGACACACTTCTGTTTGGGGGAGCCTTTCAGACTCGGAGATTTTATCAGTGATTTGGAGACTTTCCAATTGTCTTGTCTTTCTTTTGCTGGCAGGAAAGAAAAACTCAATTCTTCTCCAAAAGTTCCAGAAGGATCTGAACACTGGTGTTTTCAACAATCAGGAGAATGAGATCCTGAAGCAGATTGTAAAACACGATAGGGAGATGGTGCAAGCAATTGCCCCAATCAGTTACCCTCAAATGCCAGCCCTGAATCCCACGTCCTCCACCACAACCCCCACTTCCAGAATGAGGACACAGTCTCCACCAGTGTACACAGCCACCTGTCTGTCTCATAGCAACCTGCATTCCCCCAGCCCCAGTACACAGACCCCCCAGCCTTCTGCCATCCTCTCACCCTGCTCCTACACCACAGCGGTCTGCAGCCCTCCTGTACAGAGCCCGTTGGCAACTCGAACTTTCCACTACGTCTCCCCTACGGCTTCTCAGTTGTCACTTCTACAGCAGCAGCAGCAGCAGCAGCAGCAGCCTCCACAGACACCGCATCCACAGCAGCCCCAACAGCCCCAGACACCCAGCAGCTCCACGCCGAAAAAGGAAGCGCACAAGAGCACCCAGGCGCGTCCCAACACCAACCTGACGCGGGAAGTCAGACCCCTTTCCGCCTCGCAGCCCTCGCTGCCCCATGAGGTTGCCACGCTGATTTCCAGACCTCATCCCACTGTGGGCGAGTCCCTGGCCTCCATCCCTCAACCCGTGACAGCCGTCCACGGCCCCGGCCTTCAAGCAGGGGGCAGGGGCAGTGTCCCGCAGAGAGTCACCCTGTTCCGACAGATGTCATCTGGAGCCATTCCCCCCAACCGAGGAGTCCTCCCAACACTCCCTCCACCAGCAGTTGCTCTTCAGAGAGAGTCTTCCTCAGTCTTAACCACAGACCCAGATGCAGAAAAGCCACGGTTTGCTTCCAACCTATGATCCCTGCTCATTGTCAAAGCAGAAAGACCCACTGTCAAGGACTGAGAACACCCTGAAATCTTATTTTATTCTGTCTCCGGATAGATCCCTATAGCCTACTCTGGAGAAATATTTTAGACAACTCTGCCATACATGCAAATTGTAAAGAAAATATATACATATGAATATACATATAAATATACTATTAAATATATATATTTAAATTCCCAAGAGAAATTCAAAAGACCTGTTTAGCATCCAGTGTTATATGTCTTCCTTTCTTTAAGTCATTCAAGGTTTTAAAATGTTCTAAGATTATTTATTTTTAACCTACTTTGACTTAATTCCTTTAAGATATATGTTCTTCTCAGTTTTATGAAGAGTTCTTGGATTCCTTGAAAACAAAACTCTGACGTTAAAAAGGCAACTCATTCCGGCTACTGCAAAGCACCAACCAAAACTTTTGTTATCTGTGTCTCGGCATCCAAATTGTTGATCATTAGTTATTGAGGATTAACTCACAAACCCCAGTTCTTAGCTCGAAATTGTTTTGGTGCTTTGGATCTGGATTAGGTTAAGGAACACGCTCTATGCTTGGTCACGGTAGAAAGAGGAGCGTCGCCATGAATAGCTCTCACCTCAAACATGTTCATTGATCTTTCCCAAAGCTGAGGGGGCATCTGTCTTCATGTGTTATTGGACTCGTACCAAGACTCAATCGATGTTAGTTGTAAATAATTTTCAACCCTAACAAACAAAACAAAATAACGGCTCTGTGTTTTAGGAAGGCAAAAGTCATTGTCTAAGAATTTAGGTTTGCTGCTTCACTTCAAAACTTTAGAGTTTTAAAATTTTAAAGACCTAATTGTAACAATTATTCAGCTGTAATGCAATGGCTTGACATCTACAATATTATTTTAACCTGCTATGTTTTATGCTAAAATGTATGCTCGATTCTATAAATTGCTTGTATTACACACACACACACACAAAACACACAAAAAATTACTTTTCTTCTTTCTTGCCATAATCAAGCTCCTGAAAATAGGCCCTGCATGTTTTTCAGGGAAAAAAAAGTGGGGTGGGGGGGGGCCTTCAAATCAGCCATTGTAAGGGAAGACTTACAGTATTTCTCATTTCTAGAGGAGTATAAAAATTCATTAATTACCTATCTTAAAATTTCCATAAGGCTGACTTGGATTTCTGACTTAAGACTAGAAATGAGGTTTTCACTTTCATTTAATATAATTACAATTATTATTTGAATTATTATTTTATAAACCACAGCTTGATTTGGAGTTGAAAGTATATTCTGTGTCTTCACTGTAGTTGATAGTTAACTTTGGTGTTAATTGGAAATAAACACAATGTAACATCCTGTCTGTTTGGGAACACACACTTTGCTCTATGTACATTGTAAATGATCAGATAGTAAATCTTAAGGCATGTGGTGACAGGAGGCCTGTTATTTCAAGTGTGCTAGAAATAGGATGGATATAGTGAAAGGAAGCAGAGGTGAAGCTGACTGTGAGCATTGTTTGTTTGTTTCCTTAGCTCTTACATGATCTGTGAGCATCCACTTCACTCAAAGAAGCCCCTTAGTTATTATCATGTGTGCCTAATGCATCCCACAAACGTGATGGATGACCAAACAATTTAGAGATTCCTAATGACAGTGTCTGTAAACAGTCCAGGTTATCAGACAGGCCTAAAGTAAAGGTCTCAGTCTCTTTGATGCTGATGGAAGAAGAATTTGCAAAGCTCCCACATCATATATGGTAGGGCAGTATCAACTCTAAAGCATGCCCGTGCTACTTGTTATGCCTTTTACATATTAATACCAAAATGCGTGTTATTTTTAATTTCTAACAGTTATCAACTTGTGTGGTATGCTATTCAATATGATGTGATTATGAACATGCTGGTGACATGAGACGTGACAGGAGAAATGTGTCAGGAATAATGTAAGAAAGGGATTGTTCAGTCTATGGAGGACCTATGAAATTTGCATATCACTACAAAACTCCTTTATTGAAGACATTTTGAATTCAATCCAATTAATTAAGATCATGTAATGACCCTTTCATTAATTAAAGGTTTACATTTGATAGGACTAAGGATCTGGTAGTAAAATACTTTTATATATATTTTTGTTTGTTTGTTTGTTTCTTTTTTGTTAAATTTGAACACTATGGTGAAACATAAGAAAATTGAATTGCATGGTCTTTCAGTGCAACCACATAATTCTTATTCACTTTGCAATAGAATGGACAAAAAAACCTAAGGTTTATATGTTAAAAATAAAATGATACAGGGTAAATTATATACATATATGTATGAATGTATATAGAGTTAGATTTAGAAAAAATGGCTCACATTCCTGTAATATAAAGACATGTTGCTAGTTGAAAATGACCTCTTTTCTCTGTACATAGTTAAGCTCATAAATATGGAGTTTTAATCTGTACAGAAAGAAATGTATTATTGAAAAGATTGATCTTTCTGCTGCTGGGAAGATAGTTGAATAGCTGATTCTTACAACAACTGTGTGATCAGGGACAAGTTAGATAATTTTTTTGTCTTTGCTCAAAGCCATAAATATACATAAATATATATAAAAGTTATTAATAAATTCAACAGAATATAAACTAAAATCAAGAATACTTTATTTTATCAATAGACTCTAATCAAACTCTTCTTTCTATTAATGAGTACAGCAGAGTTGCCACAGTCTTTTGGTCTTTGCTTCATAAGATTTCCAGGAGGGTTTATATTTGATACTCAGTAAAACATTAATTATAGATAGTCTCTAACTGTGGAAAGAGAGGGCTTTCAATAGAACATGAATTTTCACCCATCTCTGTGTTTTACCTCTTTCATACAGTTAAAGCTCAAGTTCATTTTATTCTTTGCTCTGGTTAGCACGTGGGTTCCTATACAATTTTAAAACGCAACCATTCTTTGCTATTATTCAAAATGGGAGTGAGAAATAATTGCTCCATGATTATAGAGCCACTGTTTGTAATAGCCATGGGCCTTGCAAAGGCACCAGATAGTGATAAAACCTGTCCATAGAAATGGATTTTGAATTAGTGGGGAAAACCTGAGATACAGTTGTTCATGGAGAGATTAAATAGGGAAACGTTCCTGAAAATGGGGATAGATGACAGGAGTGGCAAGGAGTTCTATTCATCAAACAAATAGCATGTCAATAGGTCTCAATGACCCCTCATAATGAATAGGCCCCTAATGGATGCTGCTCTACTTAAAAAATGATTATTTTGCCATTTAAAAGCTTCAATGAGCATAGTATCTTCAGGAATCTACTGCACATGGTCAAGTTACTAGAATAATTCCTGCAGGGTTCAGATTCCTAAAACAATGAAATGCACATTTAAAATTTTAGATGTATTATTCCGAAAACATGAATTATTTATACTCCAAATAGAAACGATCTCTGTGAACTTGCAAAATTGCTTTTAAAATCTCCATGCTTTCCTTTCCAGTATAGAGTCTTACATTCGCTAATTTTGCTATGTTACTTTGTGAATATGGACCTCACGCTCATCACTTACAAAATTAAACTGAAGATTTCTCTCCATTCTGCCTCTGTCCTTCCAAACTGTGTCAAAATCCTCATGCTTGGTTACTTTATCCACATAAGCTCTTCCACCCAAATAGTTTCTACCCAGGGAGGGTTCATGACATGTGTTATATATTTTGAAAATTACTTAAAGTGTAGCGTGCAAAATAAACATGGTCCTTGGGAAATAACTGAATATTGATCATCAATAGGTACTCAGATCCTGAAAGGAATGTTCACAAATGTCAGGCAAGTGTGTTTGGCTGCATGGCTTGAACTGCTGGTTCAGTTCTATGATTTCATTTGAACGTAACATGTCCTTTTACAAGGAGAACAGTATGGTACACAGTGGATTTTTCTGGTGCCTCTGGGGTTACTTATACATACTTTGGCATGCAAAAGCAATGACTGACTAAAAAAAAAGTCTCCTTCCTTTAAAAAAACCAGCTGTCATTTGATGCAATTCAATAGCATCCATTGGAAAGAGCCCCTGCTTTTGACAGAAAGCAAGCAAAATGCCCATCACCTGGCCTAAATTCATGACAGATTCAGAGTAAATCTGGTCAATGGACCCAAATTTTCCACTGCCCATTTTGGAGCATTGGATCAAAGACTGTATTTCCCAGGAGAATGAAAAAGACCATTAATCTGTGCCAAATTCCTTGTCCTCGTTTCCTCTATAATTTTGGGCCACATGGGAAGCATGTTATGACAATCACATATATGTTCCCAGCAAAAGAGCATCCATTGATTCCAGTTGTCTAGAAGAGACTGCACATGAGTTTGTAGCACTTTGTTTTCCTTGCCAGTTTGGGTGACTCGAACTGTTCAGCCCTCTCCTTGCGGCAGCGTGTGCTCTTTTCTGCAGGAGAAGCAGGCAGGCCCAAGGGTTATGTGAGCAAGGTTCTCGGGTCATACATAGAAGTGAAGAAGGTATCAAGCCACTTAGCAACCAAGATAAATAAGACTTCCATAATACGTTACTTAATTAGAATATAAAACCAGCTTAAGCAAATACCACAGTTTGAAGTGCAGACAGGCTCTGTCTCTCCACTTGCACAGCTTGGCTTCACACACCTCACCTGAACGCCTGCCCAGTGGTCTAGTCTAGCTGTCACCAGAGCAAAAAGGGATTTGAAGGTTTCCAGTGACAGAAGAACTCCTGCCCGGGTTTCCCTCTGTGACACCTGTTTAAAGATGATATTCTGAGGACCACTACGTGGTTTTCTGCATTTGTTTTCTAAGGTTTTGGCTATAGATAGAAAGAGCGATGTATCAAATGTTATATAAAGCGGGAACATGGATAATGCTTTTCCAAAACAAATGTTTAACAGAACACAGCTCTTTGGGACCATCTGTAGTTCGGCTAGTAAAGTTTCTACAAGGTGTTAATCATTAGGTCCAGGGTGCATCCTTTATCTTCTTAATGTTATGGGACCTGTATTATTAAATAGGAGGACACAGATTATATTTCTGTGTTGCTAATGTGACCAGTAGTAGAATAATTTGTGATCACAGAATATTGGAGGTCATTTGCTGTTTCACAGAGTGATGGGGGTATTCCTGGCCCAAAGGAAGGTCCTGGGTTTGCAAAACAGGGCTGTGGGGTAAGAAGCTGAGCCTTGAGCTGCGGTGCACAAGAAAAGAAATTAAGAAGCCAGTAGAGGATTAAGAAAACAAGGTTCAGACCTTGAAAGAAGGGAAAAGAGTGATGAAATAATTCTGGTAAAAATTAACTTCATTTTATAAATCTCATTAGAGAATTTTTACTCCCCAAATCAACATTAAATAGATATACTTTGGGACTATTTCATGACTCATCAATGGCCAGTTAGTCCCAAATAGAACACTATTTTTATTTTCCTTAATTATTCATCTTTAAATAATATCATGTAAGTAGATAATACTATTATTTATTTGAAATACACAACAGAGTTAAATAGAAAGCTTGTTCAAAATATAAAGGTTATATTTCCATAAGGTCAATACAAGCAATTCAGAATTATTCAGACATTTTCTGGAAAGGAATGAAGTTTTACAAAACTATAGTGTTATCAAAATTTATTATGGGTTTCCTTAGAGAAAATTCAGATTTGTAGATGTAAAGATTATTTTTCTAAATCTCTTAGTGTTTATTAAATTTGTGAGAGAAATTCCTAAGAAATGGGAGCCATTTTAGAAAGAAGGAAGAATAAAGAACTTACTGTAAGACAAAGATGTTTGAAAGATTCAACGAGTACCTAAATGTATTCTCATTTCTTTCTTGAAATGTATTGTTTCCCCAAAGCTTTGGTTTCTAAGCACTTGAAAATAAAAGTGGTTTGTCTAATTACTCTTGATGTATTACCTACTTAAAACACTACAATTGTATTGAAAATGTGAATTTCTGAATTGAACA